AGTGAAGGGTCCGTACCTTATCATCGGTTCCCAAACCATCTGTCAATTAGTTTTCAATTTTAAATTAATTTAAAGTTTAGTTTATTTTTCATAATATTTTACAAAATGTTTGTCAATAAAAGTCAATAAAAGTTTTGAATTACATTTAGTTTGTTATAACAAGTGATGAAAAAGTGATAATAATTGGAGACAAAGATGAAAGAGAACTAAGAAGTGGTGGAAGTGTTGGAAGTGTTGGCAGTGGACAGCAGTGGACAGCAGTAGACAGCAGTGGACAGTAGTGTCGGACACAGAGCACAGACTCTCATCCTTGTGACCATCAGTCGTCTGTAAGGCAAGTGTGGAGTCATTCACGAGATGTCGCTCTGACTGCCAAACGGTTTGAGTGTTTGTTTGCATCGCTTGTGTTGACAACAATTGGATCGCATTTGACGTGAAATCCATTGGCAGACAAAATCACCGCTCATTTGATCCGTTGACTGCTGTCGTGGTGTGACGTGTGGTGCGCGTGATGGCCAAACGCAAGAGTAAGCGAAAGCCGGTGACGTCGCGTAAGGCGATCCAGCCGTTGGACACGCTCTTCAACTGTCCCTTTTGTAATCACGAGAAGTCCTGTGAGGTGAAGATGGACCGGACCCGCAACTCCGGACGCATCTCCTGTCGCATCTGTTTGGAGGACTTCCAGTCCACTATCAACTACTTGTCCGAACCCATCGACGTCTACAGCGAGTGGATCGACGCCTGCGAGTCCGCCAACCAGTGAACCACTCCTTCCGATGCTTTCATTCACTTTACGTTCAAATCATTTCATTTTTTGACAAAATTTATTAAATTTATTACATTTTTTTGTTTCAAACATTAATTAATAAAAAGTATTTCGAAATAAATATAAAAAATGATTGAATGAGTGTTTGTTTGCTAGTTATTAGCGAAGGACAGGTTGAGAGCATCTCTGGTCATGAAGTTCCTGAGGGCCCACAACGCGTTCACTACGTTTCCGTGATTTCCGGCGCCGTTAGCCAACCAATGAGTGGGCAGTCGATTGACATCCTGTGGCGGAGTGTTGTCCTGAGTGGCCGTCAGCTGTGTTTCCCAATTGCTTATATGGCGACCGTCTTTGCCCTCTGCGCTCAGTTTCTCGATATATCTGTTATGCAAATTGGGTTCAATTCATACAATCAAACCTATAATACGAGTCAATTGGCGCGAGAACTCACTTCATGTATGTGTGTGTGTGAAGCAATCGGTTAGTCCGGGGAGGGGTCGCCACGAATATCGGTTCTATGGGTTTCACTTGAACTCCAGTACCTAATCAAAGGTAATATGCATTTAATGAATGTGTAATTCATATGAAATGTAGGCTTCATTTAATAACGAATGCAAAGCAGTAATGCATTTGAAATGAAAGCAATGCGAGTGCAAAGTAAGTACAAGACTGACAGAGAGGACAGTCAGTGGTAAATCTCGTAAAGCCCTTAACGCCAGTTATGCCATAAATGCCAATACTATAGGCATTGATTGTCTGGTCTTACCTGCAGCCCAGAACGGACTTAAAATAGGCATATGAGACGACTGGGGATTAGTGCCAATCGCTTGAGACAGTGTGGGATGTAATGAACTGATACTAATTGTTGAACTATTGTCCGCTATGCTAAGTGCGGGGGAAGGGCTTGAATGCGCCTGCAGTTTGTTATGGCTTACTATAAATGAAAATCAATTTAAAATCAAATCAAAACACATGCAAAACATAAACAATACCTTTTATCAAATCAATTACTATAAAAGCAAAACTAATTTAATAAATAAATAAATGATAGACGACTTACTCGTGAGTTGTGGTGCAGATTGTTGTACTGTCGATGTGCTGGCAGTCAATACAGCAGAGGCCACCGGTGCCACTGTTTTGCGACTTTGGACACAATTTCTATATAAAACGCATTTTAATGGTTATATCAAAAGGACAGACAAATGAATGATCACTGAATCACTCACTTATTTCTGTTCTCCGGAGCAATGGATTTAGGTGTTTGTTTCGAGACATGAATCTCTTTGCAGTGCCGCACGAGTCGCTGAAAGCTTGGAAACGGCCTAAAATTGGAGTAGAAATCAAATGAAAAACAAGACATTCATTAGGTCGATGTTGTCACATACGCGGCCCCTTTTTTCACACGACCGCATCCATGGAAAAGACACTGGAATTCTGCTCCCTCTTTGTCTTTGTTCTCTCCATATGATTGCCAAACGTGTCCATTAGGTTCGGATATGAGGTGATCCAAGAGATCTGAAGATTCTTCGAACTGGAAGTCACATCTGTTCTCCCAGTGGCACTCATAGACCGCATTCTCAATCACTGAACTGCTGGCGGAGGCGGGAGAGTGAGGCATACTCTCGGCGGCGGCCACTTCTTGAGCCGTCGCCTCGTTCTGTCGCTGAGCCTTCTGTTCGTACTCTGACTTCTGATTCGGCGGCAAATTCTTCCATTCGGTGCCTATTATTCGACTCACGTCTCCGAAAGAGCACTCGGGGTTCGCCTGAACCACAGATTTTCTCACTTCACTCGCAAACACTATATATCCGGTGACTAAACGTTTGGGAAGTCTTTTCTTCACAGAAGTGACGGGAGTCGGGATCGAGTGCTCGACGACCGGAGGGATCGGAGTTTCATTCAAGCCTTCGGTTTCTATTTCAGTGGAAACCCGTTCTATAATAGCCATCGATGTATCGAAACTGGTTTGACCTTTTCTGGCCACAGCGCCCGTTGGAACTCCCGTTTCAATCTTTTGCAGAACTAATGGTTTTCGGAAGTAATAGATCTCGTCGTCCACAANTTATTTTACAAAACTATATTAAATTTAAACCTAACAATTTTAAACCTAGTTATAAATTATAGACTATAATCAAATAAACAGAACTTGTTGACTTATCCATTAATGCCAAATACAGTATAAATAACTTTACCATTTAAATAATACCAGTATAGTTAATGGTCAAAAAAAGGACATACATGTAGTTAAATAAGCATTAAGAATAAGTGTCATTTTGATTAAGCAGAGAATGTGTCTATTTTAGAGCATTTCAGAGATTTCGGGAAATGGAGCCCAAAAAAGTACCACAAGTGATGACTTGTGATGAATCGCATACAATATCCATTCCGATGGATAAAATCGAGAAAATGGCAGAATTGAAGGTAAAATGTATGCAAACACACAATAAATGATTAAATGATTGAACAAACTTTGATTACTAAATAAACCGAAAGGAAAACCCATTTAAGCAAAGAATATGTAAAGTGTTTTCACACGACGGCAGTGGAGACATGACTTTTGATGACTTCCTGGATATGCTGTCAGTGTTCAGCGAACAGGCGCCCCGGGATGTCAAGGCTTTCTATGCGTTCAAAATATACGGTTAGTAATCGTATGACATATTCGACGGACACTCGACTAACGGTGACTATGAGACAGACTATGACGACGACGGCATCATTTCAGTGCAAGACTTGCAGCAAACGGTCATCGCTTTGACGCGCAATGAGTTGACTCACGAGGAGATCAATATTATCTGCGAGAAAGTGCTCGAAGAGGCCGACAATGACGACGACCGACGCATCTCTTACATGGAGTTCGAGCACGTCATCACTCGGGCGCCAGAGTTCTTGAGGTATTCCTCTTCAGTCATTACTTAGTAATCATTACTTTATTTTATCATTTATACAACATTTCTATAAATAATATGAGAATTGTTTTTTCATTTTCAGTACATTTCACGTCAGGATCTGAAGACTAAGCTTTGAGACAGATTTGACACCAATTGTAGTGTTTATATGAAGACAACCGTCAGAACCGAGCGTTTGGTTCCTCCTTCTCATAGAAATAGAGGACAACTTCTCCTTTGTTTGTGTCCACAGTTTGAGTGACTTTTGCCAGAAAGCGAGCCGACAGGCCATACATTAGGGACGGAATGCCTAAGAAGTCATAAAAGAGTTTCTTTCATTTGCCAACAATTGTGTGAATTGTACCCAAATTAATGACTTTAAGACATGTAAACAATCGGTTCTCAAGAGTCAGATCTTGTAGCGGCCGTCGAGTGCAGTGGTATTTAATGAATGGATAGCAACCGATGCGTAAGACATGATAATTATGTGATCCGACGGACCAATTGAAGTGAGAGCACCCGAACTGGTCGTTCACCACAGACTCGTATCGCACGAAATAAGAGCTCCAAAAGGGTTGTCTACTCTTCAGATACTCCGTCAACACCTCTGAAGACAACGGTTTCTGATTTGCACTTAAATTGAAGTAAAGTTTAATGCGTCACTTCCCAGGCATGGAATATTAGCCAAGGGTTTGGTAGACAGTTAATCAAAAGTTAAAATTTAATTAAATTTCAAATCAAATAAAAAGTATTATAAAATGTTTTACAAACAGTTATTTTCAGTTACAAAGTTTTGAATTACATTTAGTTTGTTATAACAAGTGGTGAAAAAGTGATAATAATTGGAGACAAAGATGAAAGAGAACTAAGAAGTGGTGGAAGTGTTGGCAGTGGACAGCAGTGGACAGCAGTGGACAGTAGTGGACAGTAGTGTCGGACACAGACTCTCATCCTTGTGACCATTAGTCGTCTGTAAGGCAAGTGTGGAGTCATTCACGAGATGTCGCTCTGACTGCCAAACGGTTTGAGTGTTTGTTTGCATCGCTTGTGTTGACAACAATTGGATCGCATTTGACGTGAAATCGATTGACAGACCAAATCACCGTTTATTTTGACCGTTGACTGCTGTCGTGGTGTGACGTGTGGTGCAAGTGATGGCCAAACGCAAGAGTAAGCGAAAGCCGGTGACGTCGCGTAAGGCGATCCAGCCGTTGGACACGCTCTTCAACTGTCCCTTTTGTAATCACGAGAAGTCCTGTGAGGTGAAGATGGACCGGACCCACAACTCCGGACACATCTCTTGTCGCATCTGTTTGGAGGACTTCCGGTCCACTATCAACTACTTGTCCGAACCCATCGACGTCTACAGCGAGTGGATCGACGCCTGCGAGTCCGCCAACCAGTGAACCACTCCTTCCGATGCTTTCATTCACTTGACGTTCAAATCATTTCATTTGTTGACAAAATTTATTACATTTTTTTTGTTTCAAACATTAATTAATAAAAAGTATTTCGAAATAAATACAAAAAATGATTGAATGAGTGTTTGTTTGCTAGTTATTAGCGAAGGACAGGTTGAGGGCATCTCTGGTCATAAAGTTCCTGAGGGCCCACAACGCGTTCACTACGTTTCCGTGATTTCCGGCGCCGTTAGCCAACCAATGAGTGGGCAGTCGATTGACATCCTGTGGCGGAGTGTTGTCCTGAGTGGCGGTCAGCTGTGTTTCCCAATTGCTTATATGGCGACCGTCTTTGCCCTCTGCGCTCAGTTTCTCGATATATCTGTTATTCAAATTGGGTTCAATTCATACATACAATCAAACTTTTAAAACGAGTCAATTGGCGCGAGAACTCACTTCATGTATGTGTGTGTGTGAAGCAATCGGTTAGTCCGGGGAGGGGTCGCCACGAATATCGGTTCTATGGGTTTCACCTGAACTCCAGTACCTAATCAAAGGTAATATGCATTTAATGAATGTGTAATTCATATGAAATGTAGGCTTCATTTAATAACGAATGCAAAGCAGTAATGCATTTGAAATGAAAGCAATGCAATGCGAGTGCAAAGTAAGTACAAGACTGACAGAGAGGACAGTCAGTCGTCAATCTCGTAAAGCCCTTAACGCCAGTTATGCCATAAATGCCAATACTATAGGCATTGATTGTCTGGTCTTACCTGCAGCCCAGAACGGACTCTTTTATCCGTATACTCTGCTGACCCCTAATCACGGTTAGCGAACTCTGTCACACCCTACATTACTTGACTATGATTAACAACTTGATAACAGGCGATACGATTCACGCCCCCTTCCCGAACTTACGCCCTGCAGTTTGTTATGGCTTACTATAAATGAAAATCAATTTAAAATCAAATCAAAACACATGCAAAACATAAACAATACCTTTTATCAAATCAATTACTATAAAAGCAAAACTAATTTAATAAATAAATAAATGATAGATGACTTACTCGTGAGTTGTGGTGCAGATTGTTGTACTGTCGATGTGCTGGCAGTCAATACAGCAGAGGCCACCGGTGCCACTGTTTTGCGACTTTGGACACAATTTCTATATAAAACGCATTTTAATGGTTATATCAAAAGGACAGACAAATGAATGATCACTGAATCACTCACTTATTTCTGTTCTCCGGAGCAATGGATTTAGGTGTTTGTTTCGAGACATGAATCTCTTTGCAGTGCCGCACGAGTCGCTGAAAGCTTGGAAACGGCCTAAAATTGGAGTAGAAATCAAATGAAAAACAAGACATTCATTAGGTCGATGTTGTCACATACGCGGCCCCTTTTTTCACACGACCGCATCCATGGAAAAGACACTGGAATTCTGCTCCCTCTTTGTCTTTGTTCTCTCCATATGATTGCCAAACGTGTCCATTAGGTTCGGATATGAGGTGATCCAAGAGATCTGAAGATTCTTCGAACTGGAAGTCACATCTGTTCTCCCAGTGGCACTCATAGACCGCATTCTCAATCACTGAACTGCTGGCGGAGGCGGGAGAGTGAGGCATACTCTCGGCGGCGGCCACTTCTTGAGCCGTCGCCTCGTTCTGTCGCTGAGCCTTCTGTTCGTACTCTGACTTCTGATTCGGCGGCAAATTCTTCCATTCGGTGCCTATTATTCGACTCACGTCTCCGAAAGAGCACTCGGGGTTCGCCTGAACCACAGATTTTCTCACTTCACTCGCAAACACTATATATCCGGTGACTAAACGTTTGGGAAGTCTTTTCTTCACAGAAGTGACGGGAGTCGGGATCGAGTGCTCGACGACCGGAGGGATCGGAGTTTCATTCAAGCCTTCGGTTTCTATTTCAGTGGAAACCCGTTCTATAATAGCCATCGATGTATCGAAACTGGTTTGACCTTTTCTGGCCACAGCGCCCGTTGGAACTCCCGTTTCAATCTTTTGCAGAACTAATGGTTTTCGGAAGTAATAGATCTCGTCGTCCACAACACCGGCACGAGTCGCCACAAACTTCGGCAATCCTTTCGTCAATTTCTGGAACTTCTTCTCGTGTTCCAGATATCGAGACTCACAGACATACGTGTCTTTCTCTGGTATTTCAGTGGGTCTGCGAGTGATGTAGTCTTTGTACTCAATGACAGCACAGCGCTCACAGATACTCAACAATGGGTTTGTGTCCTCAATAGAGCTGAGGAAGACTTCCTGCAAATAAAACGATTTGTAGAGCAGAGGCGGGAGTTCTGGCTGCTGGACAAACCAGGGGCCGTGGAAGAAGCACATGCCCTCCTTGTCAACCCACATGCGGTCGATCCGACAAATCAGATTCCTTCCCGTATCGGTTCGCACGTAACAACAGTCGCCTAATTTGTAAGAACCCGAGGGAATGCTGTACTGTTCATAAAAGACAACCCCTTCTTCTGCTACCACCCCTTCTGGAGGATCGCACTCTATGCTTGGCCTTTCGATGTCAAACACTTTGAGCGCTCCGTCATCTTCTTCCTCTTCGGGTTCGGCTTTAACTCTATCCGTCTGTCCCTTGAAAACAGAGGGGATTCTAATCATTGGTAATGGAGTTTCTCTCGGAATTAAAGCGATGTTCTGTAGGAAAGGCCAGACTTTAATCTTCTTAAAAGTCTTGGCTCTCGTAAAATATCGCGATTCGCAGACATAAACGTCTTTGTCTTCAAAATCTTGAGGTTTACTCCGGAAGTAATCCTTGACAAACATCACGTGACATTTGCCGACCACTTGACTCATGGGAGTGCTGTTAAAGCTATCGCTTTTGAAGACTTCTTTTTCGAGGAATTTTTTAGACGCGATATGAAAGGTCTCGAAAGGCCTGAAGAACCAGCGCCCGTATATCCAATGCTCTCCGCTCTCGTCTTTACTCAGTTTCTCGATATGAATGATATGCGGCTCAATATTCTTCTCCCGGGGCTCGATGTACACAAAGTCTCCGATCTTTATATTTAGGTCATTAAAGACCACTTCATTCTCAGTATTATCTGAGGGCTCGACAACCATTGCGCTCTCTTCAGCTTCCTTTTCATCCGATTTCGAAGAATCTTCGAGTGACTGCTCTTTCGGTATTTTCTCTCTCTTAAGCGAATCGATGTCTGCAATCAGAACCTCTTCAGTATACTGAAGGGCTGCTGATTGGAGTGTATCGCCGTGTCTGCAGAGTTCGTTCCGAAGATATATGAAATACGTTTGCAATTCAATCGAGTCTTCAAAAGCCTGTGAATCAGTTCTGGAGACTCGACGCGCCCTTTCAAACACTTCAAACATGTCTTTTTGGAAGCGATCGAGTCGTTTATATCTTCCTTTATCCAGATTTCGTTTAATTATATCCATATTCAGAGGTTTTGTTTCAGACGATTGATCAGTAGTTTTGGAATCGGTTTCTGATAATTCAATGATTGAATCACTGAAACAACGGCCCTCTTCGTCCTGATGGTTATACACCGATATGAAGAGATTTGTCAACAATTCTTGAATAATGGCCTTCACGTCAGGAATTCCAGTGTCGCTGTCGTCCATCAAATCAATCTTCGTTTGCAAAGCAATTTGTTGGAGAGTCAGCGCATCCTTATATATCTGAGAGTCGGGTTCATTGTATTTACACGCGTTGTCCAGCATTAGAATCATATCTGAGAGCAGGTCCTCCAGTGTGTCATAAACACCATTCTTGAGACGAACACCAATTTTCTCTAAACCGACCGGTTTTTTGATCACTTCGTAATATTCAGGCAATTCTGTCTTCGATGGAAGTTTCATGAATATAGTGGACAGTTGTCGTCCCTTCGCATCCGTATAGTCTTTCACTGTATTATAAAGAGTTCTCATTTTCTGTTGCGTCACATTAGAGGCCCGGCCTTTGGTCTTCTTAGGTTTAATTGGCTGAAAGGGTCCCAACTCTCTAACCTTATCCATGAGAACATTCTCGAGAGCGACGGCATCCTTATATATCTGAGAGTTGTCTTCATTATATTGTTTGCAATTACTAAACATTAGCTTAAAATCAGTTATCAATGACTCTTCGTTTGGATATCGTTCCCATTTGATGTTAGTCTCAATTGTCTTCATATCAATAGGATTTGCAATGATATCATAATAGTCGGGATAAGCCTTTTTGGAAGGTTTCTCCATAAACAATAATATTAGGGAACGGGAGGACTCGTCGGTGTAATCGATTAAAGTCTTATAGAGAACTCGCATCCGCTTCTTGAGCTGTGAGTCGACATCCAGTTGCGATCGCCGGGCTTTTTTCAACTCATGAGTCAATGGATTCGATGTCTTATGTTTGGGACGCTTTCCAGCGAAACTGCTTTTGCTGTCGTCATCGCTTTCACTGTCATCCGAATCCTTTAAACTAATATTCAGTATTTCCTGTGCTTTTAATTGTAGTGTTTTCTTAAGCTTTAAGGCGTCCTTAAAGATCTTAGAGTCGGGTCTATTGTATTTCATGGCGTTCTCGAAGGTTAGACTCAAATCTTCGACCAAATTAGAGATGTTATCGTAAGCGCCGGTCTTTATTTTGGCTCTTATTTTGGCCAAAGAGATGGGATGTTTGATCTCTTTATAGTAGTCCGGATAGAATCGACGCGAAGGTAAGCGCATGAAAGGGTCAGACAATGCGATTCCCTGAGCGTTCGTTTGGCTGCGAATGGCCTCAAAGAGCTGCCACTGAGGGTTTGTGTCAGCGTCTTCTGGGTCTGAGAAGTTGGTCACATCATCGTTGGTGGTCTCGTCCCCAAAGGTACTGGTGTTGGCGCTCTGGATACTAGTCTCCAGTTCCGGGTCGTTCTCGTGCTTCAAGGCGGCCGTAATGGCCGACCACTTCTGGCCCATTGGCAGCAGTCGTTTGGCTCGAATGCGTTCACTTGTTTTGATTGGTTGGCATTTCTTGAGCTCAATGTCACTCTTCTTACCGATGATCACTTTGCGGAGAGTGTTGGCGTCTTTGTATATCTGAGACCCGGGCTCGTTATACAGCTTCGCATTCCTCACCATTTGTAGCAAATCCTTCTCCAAGTCATTCAAACAAATATAACTATTGTTTTGTATTTTTGTGCCGATTGTCTTCAAGTCGATCGGTTCCGACACAATGGTGTAGTAATCAGGATATGTGGCCTTTTGGGGCAATAACTCAAACATTGTGCTCAGGGGTCGGCCCTCGTCGGTAGTGGCAGTCATGACAGCACTGAACAGCTCTTCGTAGAGACTGTCGTATTCAATGGCAGTCTCGCTCTCACTGTTGCTGAGGGCGTCGATGGCGTCGACATCGAAAGCGCTGTGACTTTGATTACTCGTGTCGTCGAAGTCTTGTTTGGAAGCGTCGCCTACCATCTCATTCCTCACCTCCACGTATAGGTTCCAGAAGGCAATGGCGTCCATATATTCCGGACTCTCTTTCTTATAATAACTCTTAGCATTAGTGACCATCAAATCGATGTCTTGAGTCATTTGGTCCACGTCTTCGTATTCATCCATTTTGATCTTCTGTTGGACGCGAATCATATCCATTGGAGTGGAAACCACTTCATAATAATCAGCAAAACTTCTTCGCTTTGGAGCTCTTATGAAGTTTTCGCACAAAACTCTTCCGTCAGATGTCTTGTGGTTACGGATCGAGTCATAGATTTCCTGCAATTGTTCCGACTTTTGGCGCAAATAAGACATTCATTAGACATTCATTGAGATAATAAGACATATGAGTGCATACAATGTCCAGTTTGCGTCTCTTCTTGCCATCGCTGGCATCACTGCGTCCATCACTTCCCTCATCACCGGACAGTTTCTTACGTTTTGGCATTTCTTCAGATCTCGGATCAGCTCTTCTTTGCCTAAACTCACAGTCAATGCATTGAAGCAAACAATACAAACCATGAGTTGTCCACATATGACGTCCAATTGAATGGGTGTGGTGTGCATTGAAGTTGGGATGAGTAACCTAAATGTCTTTAATATAGACTCTTACCATTGATGTCTGTCTAGTCTGCGGGCACTCTAATCATTAGATAACTCATTCTTGGCTCCAATTCAGATATTTACCATCAAATTAGTCAATGATTGCAATATTAATTGTAAATTAAGTCTTTAGAAAAAATTAATTCAATTAAATTTGAACAATTATTTTATTATTTTTAATTGAAAAACATTTCAATTAATAAAATATAAATTAATTAAAATCAAATACTATTCAATCAATCGATGAAATGGAAATGAAAAGCATAGAAATGTTTTACAAATAATTATTTATAATTAAAATCACAGTTTTTTCCACAAAATAACTTTTCAGTGCTTTTAGTTTAATTTATTGACAATATATACAAAATTTAATAATTACTATTCAATCAATCGGTAGACATATTGATGTCTTTTAAATAAATTCATTAGTGTTTTGTTCCCAAAAATGGTCTAAAATTTTGTCGAAATATATATTAACCGTAAAGACTGTTAGAGTCAACGACTAAGCGAAGGCTTATCATCTGAATTATGAGTGAAGGGCCGCCTATAGCTGTCAACGGGATGAGGGTTGCGATGATATGGCGGTTCTCTGGGATTGTTGAATGAGGACCAGGAGGACTGGTATTGATTAGACTGATTGATGGGCGCACCAGCATTACTGTGAGGGAAGTAGTGCTGATCGTATTGACTGTGACTTCGGTTGGGACCTAACGGCGCACCGGAGTGTTGCACTGCTTGTGTATGATTCCCATAGGAACCCGAGTGCTGACCTTGCGATACGTTTTGTGAGTTGTAACGCCTTTCATTAGGATACCGGTGCTTACGATCGGTTTCATCGCGTACATACTTTGGGTAGTGATCCCCTCTGTCCCTCTCGTAAGGCATGGGTCTCATAGACCCCGTGTTAGAGCCATCGTGTTTGGGCCAACTGTTCCTATAACCCGATGTCTGAGACATATTGACACCACTGGAGTACACGTTATTAGCTTTTGGATCAAATTGATTGTAATCTTCGCGTTCTTTCTTCATTATCTTATTGATTGTGAAACCAGAGGAAGAAGACTCGCGTTTCAATGGATTGAATGAGGAATGACTCGACTGTTGTTTCGTGTGATGCCTATCGTGTCGGTCTCTCCTGGAAGTGTGCGACTCTTCAGACCCTTTGTGTTCGCTTTTAAGCGAATGTTTATAAAGTTTGTATAACTTCTTCGCGTGATATTCAGTGAACTTTGACACAAAAGTCCACAAATGGTTTCGCCATTCTTTGGATTTCGTTGGATCTGAAGAGAACTCTTGAAGGCATTCATCNCTTTTAAGCGAATGTTTATAAAGTTTGTATAACTTCTTCGCGTGATATTCAGTGAACTTTGACACAAAAGTCCACAAATGGTTTCGCCATTCTTTGGATTTCGTTGGATCTGAAGAGAACTCTTGAAGGCATTCATCAATTCGGACGCCAATAGTGCGCAAGTGTTGCATATAATGAGACTTTTGCTCGGACTTGGAGAGCGACGCGTCGGGTTTGTCGAGCGCTTTGAGCGCCTTCTTCACGGGTCTCATCCGCTCTTTACACTCTTCAAACACTTTTGGGTCCAAATCGTCGTTCAAGTCATCGCCTAAAACACCAGCCGTTTCTTTAGAACTATTTGCGTCCAAATCTTTTTTCTTTTTATGTTTCTCTCTCTTGTGTTCTTTGTCTCTCTTCTTGTCTTTTGATTTCGTTTTCTTTTTATCTTTTTTGTGTTTCTCTTTTACATTGTTTTTATCGTTTCCTTTCGAGTCATTCGAGTTTTGTTTTACAGTAGAGTTTCCGTCAGTTTTGGGTTTCAGTGCTTTTGGTTTCTTAATGCGAGGTT